CCTCAGACGACATGTCCATCCTGGGCCTCCTGCAGTGCCACAACGATGCCACCCGAAGGTTGCAGGAACAGCAACTCATATTCCGCTTGGGAACCCTGCAGCCCAATGGTATCAATGTGGATTTCACAAGTTTCAAAATCTCCCCTCCCCCTACCGCATCCCAAAACCAGTCCAGCTCGTCCCTGCCTCCCTAACCTGTTCTTCCTCCCACCTATCCCCTCCTCCCACCTCAAGCCGCACCTCCATCTCCTACCGACTAACCTCATCCCGCCCCCTTGACCTGTCCGTCCTCCCTGGACTGACCTATCCCCTCCCTAACTCCCCACCTACACTCACCTTTACTGGCTCCATCCCCGCCTCTTTGACCTGTTTGTTTCCTCTCCACCTATCCTCTCCTCTCTCCATCTTCTATCCGCCTCCCACTCTCTCCCTATTTATTTCAGAACCCCCTTCCCCTCCCCCTTTTCTGATGAAGGGTCTAGGCCCGAAATGTCAGCCTTTCTGCTCCTATGTTGCTGCTTGGCCTGCTGTGTTCATCCAGCCCTGCACCTTGTTGTCTCGGATTCTCCAGCATCTGCAGTTCCTACTATCTCTGATTCAATTGTTTTGAGACTCTCCTTTATCCAGAACTAGCAGAAAGCAGACAGTTAGTGTCTGACTCCTTTGTGTCAGCTTTAACTAGAATATCACTACAATGGAGGAGCTTCAGAAGTTTCTGAAAATATGACCATGTGACCATTTTATGAGTCCATTTTGAATTAAACCATAAATTATAGAAAAGAATATTGTTTTGTTTGGCATTTCTCTTCATGGCCTCAGGCATGCCAAGCAACATTCTCAAAACATTCTAACAAGCTTATCAAACAAGATTTCCCTTTTATAAATCCATGTTGACTATTTCCAATGTTGCTAATTTTTCCAAATGTCCACTCATTACTCGCTTTATAATAGATTCTAATATTTTCCTTAGTACTGATATCAATCTAACAAGTCTGTAGATCTCTACTCTCCCTCCCTTCTTAAATAGTGGAAGATACTATTCAGTCATCAGGAACATTTGCAGAATCTTTAGAATTACAGAAGCAAGCTGGTGTAGACTCAATGGCTGAAGGGCCTCTTCTGCATCATATGATTCTGTGATTCAAGCACGTGCGTATTGTTCCCCTATAAAACATGTACTTGCTATTTGGCTTCTGGTCAAGTGCAACCTGGCTTTAAAATTCTCATCCTAACTGTTAAATTCCTCCATGACCTTACCCCTTCCTAACTTTGTAATGTTCTCCAGCTCCACAACCCACCAAGATCTTGGTCATCCTCTATTTCTGGCCTCTTGTGAATTCCCAACTGTAATTACTCCACCATTGGTGGCCATACTTTCAGATACCCAGGCCAAAGTTCTGGAATACTGTCCTGACACCACTTTGCCTTTTTCTGATTCACTTTTCTCCTTTAAGACATTCCTGAAAACCTAACCATTTTGACCAAGCTTTTGGTCATCTGGCCTAATATTTTCCTATTCTTCAAAAATGTCCCAAAATGCAATGAGCAATGATTTTATATTTTGAAGTATGAATGATGTTATTATATTACTAATAAAGGTTGCCCCAGCATTAGGCATCTAAGTGATTACACTGAATTCTAATGTCCACTGATTCAAAGAACACGGATTTTCAGAACAATCAGAAGTACTAAAGTGTTGTAGAATGTATTGAGTCAGTTAATTTCTTAATTTCTAGGAGAAATGAGAAGGATTATAGATGGCATCAATTAAAAATTTGAAAATTACTTTTATAGTAATTCAGTTGGCTTTTTAGTTGCGGTGAAGTGAAATATTACTTTTCTCTTTCCAATGTGTTTAGGTGTTCACCCCATGTTGAATTCTCCAATTCAGCTAGAAAGGAACAATAAAAAACCGCTACCTCCTTTGCCACCTCCTACACAAAGACGCATGTCACATGGGTTGGTTGTAATTAAAGAAGATTTATCAAGTTCACTACAAGACCGTTTGCCTTCTCCTTCCGCTACAAAAACTGAAGTCAGTGCATTGCTCAAATGTCTTTCTCCCAAAGCTTCTCCAGGCTGTCCAACCCCACCTAGTGTACATTTAAAATCTGCTTCAGGTGGAAAGGAGCAACACTGGAGATATTCAGAAACTACAGACTCTGATGTCAAAGTGAAAAGCAAATTTGCAATGGAGTTAAATAAGCATTTACAACAGACAACTGGAAAAGAGACATCACTTGATGTTGTATCCCCTTCTGTGCTCTTCTACAAAGGACCTAACTCTGGACCTCCTTCGACATCCACGAACAAAGCATCTAGCACTGTACCACCTTCAGTGCCTATAAACAAAGGAACTAACATTATACCTCCTCCAGTGCCTATAAACAAGGGAACTAACATTATACCTCCTCCAGTGCCTATAAACAAAGGAACTAACATTATACCTCCTCCAGTGCCTATAAACAAAGGAACTAACATTATACCTCCTATGAACAAAGGTGCTTGCATTGTACCTTCTCCAGTGCCTATGAACAAAGGAGCTAGCACTGTACCTCCTCCAGTGCCAATGAACAAAGGAGTTAGCACCATATCTCCTCCAGTGCCTATAGACAAAGGAGCTAGCACTGTGCCTCCTCCAGTACCTATGAACAAAGGAGCTAGTGCTGTACCTCCTTCAGTGCCTGTGAATAAAGGACCTAAAGCTGGATATACAATATTTATGAGCAAAGAACCAAGCACTGAATCTCCTTCAATCCTCATGACAAAAGGATGCAATGCTGGATCCCCTCCTGTGCCAATGTCCAAAGGATCCAATGCAAGCCACCCTCCATTACCAACAAACAAACCCATTTTGTCACCAATTCCATCTGAACCTGTACAGGTTAAGCCTAAACTATATAAACCAGAACTATTGCCAAAAGGAACTTCAGCTTTGACCAAGCAACCACCTCCTGTTAAACCTAAATTTCAACAGTATGGTACACATCTGGCAAAACCCTTACAGTAAGTGGTTTGTTATAAATTATCACTATGATTGATGCGTAATTGACATCTCAAGTAAATTGGCTACACCACTGTTTTAGCATTTACCCTTCATGTGAGCAGGAATTCGAATCAAATTTACTCACTATGTTCCTAAATTCCTTCAAAACATTTCATATTATTCAAAAACTGTAGGAGTTGCTGAAGGCAGTGTCATAGAAACATAGGAAATAGGAGCAGGAGTAGGCCATTTAGATCTTTGAGCTTGCTCCACCATTCATTATGATCATTGCTGACAATCCAAGTCAGTAGTCTGTTCCTGCTCCATATCTCCATATCCTTTGAATCCCTCTACCTTTTTTTTTCTATTCATTTTGTGGGATGGGGGCGTCGCTGGCTGGCCACTATTTCTTACCCATCTCTAGTTGCCCTTGAGAAGGTGGTGGTGAGCTGCCTTCTTGAACCGCTGCATTCCTCCTGCTGTGGGTTGACCCACAATGTTATTAGGGAGGGAATTCCAGGATTTTGACCCAGCAACGGTGAAGGAACGGTGATATATTTCCAAGTCAGGATGGTGAGTGACTTGGAGGGGAATTTGGAGGTGGTGGTGTTCCCATATATCTGCTGCCCTTGTCCTTAGATGGAAGTGGTCGTGGGTTTGGAAGGTGCTGTCTGAGGATCTTTGGTGAATTTCTGCAGTGCATCTTGTAGATAGTACACACTGCTGCTACTGAGCATCGGTGGTGGAGGGAGTGGATGCTTGTGGATGTGGTGCCAATCAAGCGGGCTGCTTTGTCCTGGATGGTGTCAAGCTTCTTGAGTGTTGTTGGGGCTGCACTCATTCAGGCAAGTGGGGAGTATTCCATCACACTCCTGACTTGTGCCTTGTAGATGGTGGACAGGCTTTGAGGAGTCAGGAGGTGAGTTACTCGCTGCAGTATTCCTAGCTTCTGGCCTGCTCTTGTAGCCACTGTGTTAATGTGGTGAGTCCAGTTGAGTTTCTGGTCAATGGTAACCCCCAGGATGTTGATAGTGGGCGATTCAGTGATGGTAACACCATTGAATGTCAAGGGGCGGTGGTTAGATTGTCTCTTATTGGTGATGGTCATAGCCTGGCATTTGTGTGGCGCGAATGTCACTTGCCACTTGTCAGCCCAAACCTGGATATTGTCCAGATCTTGTTGCATGTGAACATGGACTGCTTCAGTGTTTGAGGAGTCACGAATGGTGCTGAACATTGTGCAATCATCGACGAACATCCCCGCTTTTGACCTTATGATGGAGGGAAGGTCATTGATGAAGCAGCTGAATATGGTTGAGCCTTCAAGTGCTATGTCACTCCTTCTTGAAATCATCAAATGTTTTTGCCTTGACTATTTTCTGTGGTCGCAAATTCCACAGGTGCATACTCTCTGGGTAAAGAAATCTCTCCTTATCTGACTCTTAAGTGTTATACCCCCTAGCCTTAAACTGTGATCCCTGGTTCTGGACTCCACTGCCATTGGGATCATTTTTGATGCACCTTATCTAAGTCCTGTTAGAACTTTGTAGGTTTCTATCAGATCGACTCCTTATTCTTTGAACTTCAGGGAATATAATCACAACCGATTTAGCCTCTCATTATACATCAGTCCCGCCATCCTAAAAATCAGTTTGGTAGACCTTAGTTGCACCCTCTTCATAGTAAGAACAACCTTCCTCAGATAAGGACCAAAACTGCACATTTCCTGCATACATTCCAGGTTTTTCTCTTCTACAGTATTGTTACTAATTTGATTTGTCTAATCTACATGTAGATTAAAGTCACCCATAATTACAGATTGCCTTTATAGCAGGCATCTCTGAGTTCCTATTTAATGCCATTCCCAATATTACTCCTGCAGCTTGGGGGCAATATACAAGCCCCTCTAAAGTTTTTTGTCCTTTGGTGTTTCTCAGATCTACCCATGTATATTCGGCATCATCGGAGCAAATATCCTTCCAAACAATTGCATTAATTTCCTCTTCAAACAGCAATACAACTCCACCATCTTTTAAATATTGAATACCCCTGGATGTTCAGTTCCCAGCCCTGGTCACCTGCAGCCATGTCTCTATAATCAAAGAAGTCATGGAGTCATACAGCACAGAAACAGACCCTTTGGCCCAATTCATTCATGCCAACCAAGTTTCCCAAACTAAAGTAGTCCCACTTGCCTGCAGTTGTCCCATATCCCTCTAAACCTTTCCTATACATGTACCTATCCAAAAGTCTTTTAAATAGAACATAGAACATAGAACAGTACAGCACAGTACAGGCCCTTCGGCCCATGATGTTGTGCCGACCTATTATCCTACCAAGATTAATCTATCCTGCATACCCTACATTTTACTATCCTCCATGTGCCTATCCAAGAGTCGCTTAAAAGTCTCAAAAGTATCTGACTCCACTCCCACTGCCGGCAGCGCATTCCACACGCCCACCACTCTCTGTGTAAAGAACCTACCTCTGACACCTCCCCTATACCTTCCTCCAATCACCTTAAAATTATGTCCCCTCATAATAGTCATTTCCGCCCTGGGAAAAAGTCTCTGACTATTCACTCTATCTATGCCTCTCATCATCTTGTAAACCTCTGTCAAGACACCTCTCGTCCTTCTTTGCTCCAATGAAAAAAGCCCTAGCTCCCTCAACCTTTCCTCATAAGACCTGCCCTCCAGTCCAGGCAGCATCCTGGTAAATCTCCTCTGCACCCTCTCTAAAGCTTCCGCATCTTTCCTATAATGAGGTGACCAGTTCCATAGAAAAGATCTTTTCCCTAGGGTAGGGATGTTCAAAACCAGAAGGCATAATTTTAAGGTGAGAGGAGAAATATTTAAAAGGGACCTGTGGGGCAACTTTTTCTCACAGGAGGTGGCTCATATGTGGAATCAACTGCCAGAGGAAGTGGTAGATGCAGGTTTAGTTACAACATTTAAAAAACATTTGGACAGGTACATGAGTAGGAAAGATATGGGCCAAACACAGGCAAATGGGATTAGTTTATTTTGTGAAATTTGATCGGCATGGATGAGTTGAACTTAAGGGTCTGTTTCCATGATGTATGACTCCGTGATAGAGGGAAGCAGCACTGTTGATGTAATTGCTGTATTAGAGAAAGAGTTGTGGATGGAGTCCAGAGAAGGATTGGAACAAGGAATGTTCCATGTACACCACAATAAGACAAGCATAACTGGGGCCCATGTGGGTACTCATGGCCACATCTTTGACCTGAAGAAAGTGAGAGGAGTTAAAGGAGAAATTATTCAAAGTGAGCATGAACGGGCCATGTGGAGGAGGTAGTAGTGGTGGATGGGGACAATTCGGGCCTTTTTTCCATGGTGGAGTGGAGATGATTCTGATGAGGAATGGATATGCAAAGGAATTGCATCTCCATGGTGAAGAGGAGGCGGCTGGAACCCACAAACTGGAAATTCTGAAACTGACGTAAAGTGTCAGAAGAAGCACAGATGTAGGTCGGAAGGGACTGGGCAAGGAGACAAAAAGATCAAGTTGAGGTAGGAAGAGGTGAGTTCCATGCGGTAGGAGCAGGGAGAAATAATGGGTCTACCGTGGAAGATCTGTTTATGGATTTTGGGGAAAGAGGTAGAAGTGGCCTGTGCGGGTTTGGGAGACTATGAGCTTGGATGCAATGTGGGGGAGATCACCACATGAAATGAGATTAGCGACCATTGTGGACACAATAGCCTGGTGTTCAATGGTGGGGTCAAGGTCCGGGGGAAATAAGAGGAGGCGTCTGAGAGCTGGTGCTCAGCCTCCACAATGTAGAAGTGAGGATGCCAGATACTTTGTCAACAGGCTTAATTACAAAGTCAGAGTTGGATCTGAGAGCATGGAGTGCTGTCAGTTTAGAAGGAGATAGACAAACATCTCTGTCTCAGGCTTGCTGTAGTGCCCCAACAAAGCTCGACGCAAGCTGAAAGAACAGCATCTCATTTTCTGCTTGGGAATCCTGCAGACTTTAGGACTCAATATCAAGTTCAATAATATTAGGGCCTGAGCACTTTCCCCCATGTCCTTACCCCAAACCCCATATACCAAGTCTTGTCATCCCATGGGCTACTCCTACAAACAACCCGTTGTCAGCCACTAATGGTCTCTGTTAGCACCAGGCTGACCTTTACCCATTTCTTTGTCTGCCTAATTGTTTTTCTCTCTGTCTGGGTTCCATTTCCACCTATCCTTTATTTCTCCCCAACTCCCCACTCCCTCCACCCCATTGTCAGCATACATACCATCCTTTTCCCAGCTACAATCAGTTCTGAAGAAGGGTCACTTGACCCAAAATGTTAACTCTGCTCTCTTCACAGTTTCTACCAGACCTGGCAGGTTTTTCAAGCTATTTCTGTTTTTGCCTCTGATTTTCGGCATCTGCAGTTTTTTATTTTCCTTAATATAATGTGGAAAATTATGTTCAGGTATATTCTGTACACAAAAAGCAGGACAAATGCATCTAAGCTAATGATCACTGTATTGGTCTACGCTCCATCATAAGTAAAGTGGGACTATCAACAGTGCTACTAAATGACGTTTGCAAAGGAATAACTTGCTCACGGGTGCTTCGTTTCAGTTCTGCCAGGACCACTCAGCACCTGACTTTATTTCAGCCTTTGACCAAACATGGACAAAAAAGCTAAACTTGAGGTGAGGTAACACTGCCCTCAAACAATATTCGACTGAGTAAGGCATCATGGGGCCCTAGCAAACTTGATGTCAAAAGGAATCGGGAGAAAACTTTCCACGAGTTAAAGTCATATCTCGCACAAAGAAAGATGGTAATGGAATAAATAATAAAAGTATCAGTGTGGTGGTTATTGTACCAATGGATCCTACCAATACTGTCATGGATAGATGCAACATATAGGTTGATGAGGAAAATCATGTAGAATTTTTCCACTTGTTGTTTCCCTGTCCCCATCTGAAATCTTTCTTTGCATTTATATTTCCCAATTTCAGACAGCATCCTCATGAATTTGCATTGTACCCAATCTATAAACTCAACAATCTTTCTTTAGTTTGGACTGTAATATTGGACACTACAATTGAGAGCTTAGTAAGGTTCTATATAGATTCATTACCTGTTTGTATTTATATTCTGTTTGTTTGTAATAAGTCTAGAATTACCTCAACTTCTGCTACGATTGTGAGCCTTTGGCTAAAAATCTCTCTCCTCTGGCACAGCGTCAAACAGCAACTTACATTTATAGAATGCACCATTTTAACAAAGAAAATTAATGACTCATCGAGAGATACTGATTTCTACCTTTTACCTTCTGACCTTATCCTTCTTCATATCAAAATCTATTTGCAGCCAAGATCCCTGCTATCTTGGTGTCTTCTGAAACTTTTAAAATCATTCCCTTAGGCCAATATCCAAATTATTCATGTCACGGAACTGAATCCAAATGGTTCAGATAACCCTCTTCTCACTATAGTAAAAACCTGCCCTTAGACCAAACTCATTGATCTTTTCATTTGCAACAATTTAAAAGGGTTCGGACATAACAACATTATTTGGGCCAGTTTAGTGGGCATACCTTGTGCAACTATTGGAATTCTATGCCATTCCATGTATTTCAGTGCTGAGTCTCCCAGCAAGATAAGGTTATGGCACTACTCCTTGACAATTGCAGAGCAATGTTAGCCCCACCACATTTATACAATATATTCTGGCCCTTGCTCATCATTTTATTTGTAATGATTTACACCATGACTAATATGTACAATATTGAACAAGTCATACTGCTACATTAGGATATAAGAAAAAAAAATTCAAGTTAATACATCAGGACTAAAAGTGAATAAAATATTATATTTTCTAGCCGCTCTTCTCCTGAAGGACGGAGTTTTCGGTCAGCTGAAACTGAAAAGCCAGTTCCTCGACAAAGGTCTCAATCACAGCCATCACAGAGTCACATATCTGAGTATGATGATGATGATGCTGATTACGAAAATGTAAGAATATGCCTTTCTTTTATGAGCACATATTGCTGACACCATTAGTATTTATTCCTCTAAACTTCCGATCCTGTGTCCAATGACTCAATAGAATGCAATAGTGCTTCCGATATTAATGAGATAAAACATGGCACTATTTGAATTAATATTTTTTGAAAACAAGAAGTAGAAATGCTCCAGTTGGCAAAGACTGTTTCTGTTATCTATATGTTGAAGTTTTAGGGTAAAGTGAAATACTCCCTATCCCTCTGATCATTTCATAATATTTTATTTTCTTTGTTTAATAAGTTACTGAGCATTGGTTAAGACTGGTCTGCATTTATAAAGTACCTAATTGCCTTGTCAAAATTGGTTAGTATTTCACATTGTCAGTATTTCATATTGTCATTTTGCATCAGCAATATCAGTGAAACAGCAATGAGATGATTGGTTTGTTAAGACCATAAGACATAGGAGTAGAAATTAGGCCATTTGGCCCATCGAGTCTGCACCACCATTCAATCATGAAGAGAAGATGCTAATGACAACAAAGGATATGGAGGTAGTTCAGGAAAGTGACATTGAGGTAGAAGATCAGCCAGTATCTAATTCAGTGATGAGCAGACTTGACGGGTTGAATGGTTCGCTCCTATATTCTCGGTTGGATGTATTGGTCTTTTGCATAGATGCTCTTTAGTTTTTAAAAGGCATTGTATCTTTACAATGTATTTTGTACTAACAATAATGAAATCAAAAGTTGTGATGCTATATAAAATTTCTAAAATATGTAAACAGTTACCCTTAGTTCTGAGAATTGTAAAGTTAAATTATGGAGTGACTGACAGGAAACAAGTAATGGAGGTTAACAAACAGTGGCCTCTAGTGGAATTATCTAGCAATAATGGGGAGGAGTCTGAACAGAGTAAACTCGGGAGGGGCATGACAGACGATTGCTATTGGATACTAACACTTGCAGTTTAGCCACTTTATCGGAAACCGGAACTATTTTGTTAATTACAAAGTCACATAGTCACAACACTATCGCAAGAACTGAAATGTCAAGGCTATGGTATCATGGAATCATGAATGATGCAGCATAGAACTAGGTGTTGAGGCCATTGTGCATGTGCTGGCTCTTTATCCATTATTCAGCTCTTTCCCCAAAGTCCTGAATTCTTTCCTTTAAACTCTGTTTTGAAAGTGACTATTTAAACATCTTCCATCATCCTTCTAGGTACTGTATTCCACATCACTATAATTTATTGTGATAAAAACACTTCATATCACTCTAAGCCTGCTGCTGTTCTGCCTATCATTTTATGCCTAAATTAATAAAGCCAAGGATTCCATATATTGCAACTTTTGCTCTCACCTCCAAAGATTTGGTTCCATACTTGTCCAGTTGTCTCTGTTCCTACAGCTGCTTTAAAGCTGTATATTTAGCTTTACTTTGTCTCTCTTCATTCTCCCTCACATAATGTATCATCACACTTCTCTTTGTTAAATTTGTGATGAATCTGCCATTTCATCATCAGATTTTGCCTTCTGAGGCCTATAACTATTTTTATCTTGATTTAATACATTTGAGTTTTTTGACATTGAGAGCTTTGAATTTTTGTACTGCACACTCAATTTCATATCAATAACAGTAAAAAGGGCCAAGTCCTAATAGCCCCCTTCTCAATAGTCAGTAAAAGGAAATATTTTTTGCCAGTAACGCTTGATCCCTAAAAATCAAAAAGAGTAATACTCCTAGCACCAATCCCGGAAAAAGACCTCTGCATACCCTCCGAGATAGTAGGAACTGCAGATGCTGGAGAATCCGAGGTAACAAGGTGCAGGGCTGGATGAACACAGCAGGCCAAGCAGCATCAGAGGAGCAGGAAGGCTGACGTTTCTGTCCTAGACCCTTCTTCAGACCTCCAGTCTGAAAACAAATTATGCTCTATTCTCTGCTTTCTGATCCTTGATCAATTTTAGGTCCATACCATCACATTCTGTCATATTCCTCTGAAATTTAAATTTGCTTACAATTCCATTATCTGCTATTTTAACAAATGTCTTCTAAAAATCCATATACACCTTAACATTAGCATCATCAATCTCCTCTATTATTAGATGAAATCATGTTAGCCAAACATGATTTGCCTAGAAGAAATTCATTATGACCTGATGAGTGGACAACACTTGCTAAGTAGTACTGATATGCTAAGAATTATACTAACAATCAGATTAAGCTTACCTGCCCATTGGGTTCATAATGTTGAATCAGAGATGGTAGGAACTGCAGATGCTGGAGAATCCGAGACAACAAGGTGCAGGGCTGGATGAACACAGCAGGCCAAGCAGCATCATAGGAGCAGAGAGGCTGACGTTTCGGGCCGAGACCCTTCATCAGAAAAGTAATGTGGTTGACGTATGTGTGCTAGAAGCTCAATATATTCACATCTAGGGTTCTGTTCTTTACAGAGAAAACATGTTCTGGCATTGCCTTTTAAACTTTATAAAAGCCTGGAGGACGGCTAAACTATACAAAAGCTCGGGAGATAGCCATTCTACAGTGCATTTCTCACGGCAATTTCTCACAACATTAGTTAGCATGCCTGTTTAGCATTTTTAAAAATACTGGCATTAACTGTTCCCTATGCCAGTGTTAAAATCGCAAGCCAGTTTAGGGGTCAACCATAACAATTCCAAAGTTATTTGAGATTTGGTGATGTTTACTGGACTTCGTATTTATGCTCTTGGTTTTCTGGGGAGCTGGAAGTATGGTGGTAGTGTCGTTAGACAAGTAATTCAGAGCTAGTATACTGGAGACATTGATTCAAATCTCACCATTGCAGATAAATTCAGTAGAGATCTGGAATTAAAATGGTGAGCTTGTAATTATTGTTGTGGGAGCACTTCTGATTCACTGTATCCTTTTGGGAGGGAGATACACCATCCTTGCCTAGTCTGGCATATGTGTGGCTCCAGGCCCACAGCAATGTGATTGACTCTTAGAAAATTATCTTTATTCTGCTCCCCTCCAACTTCATTTTAATTTAGTTCCCTCTCTCTTTTCCTACCCTCTTCTATTTTTATTGTTGTTGCACTGTCCCTGTTGAGTAGTGCTTATTAATTGTTAACTGTTTAATTGGGAACAGGGATGAATTTATTTAAACAATGATCTCAGTCCTGCCTGGTCTCTAGTGGTGCAGTTGTAATGTCTCTACCTCCGGGCTAGGGTTCATGTACCACCTACTCCAGCCACATATTATACATCTCTGAACAGGAGGATTAGAAAACATCATGATTTCAGTTCTCCACTAATGGGTAGCGGACTTCTGGATGGGGAAAGGTAGAATCTGATGTTTGTGCTAGACCGTAGATTGACAATAAAATCCTTATAAATCTTAGAAAGTCTTTTGCAACCTAATTCAACATATGAATATCCATCTATGAAACATCCTGGTACTTCCATGGCAACACCACTATCCAGATCCATTTGCCAACCAATCAGCAGTATGATGCAGTTATAAATTGTTATTCCCTTTGAGATTTGATATTCTTATGATCTTGTAATGGGAGATTAAAAACCTCCTTTTATGACAATACTGAAGTCCTGTACTACTAAGCTACTATCTAATAAATTAGTTAAACCCAATTTCCCTCTCAGAAAAGCATGTTGACTCTGAGTCCATTATGACTTTCTAAATAACCTATTAGAACCTTCTCAATAATGGATTCCTCTGGCATATGTTAGCCTAACTGAGCTATAGTCTTGTGATTTCTTCCTTTCTTGAATAAAGGTATTATTGCTGTTTTCTAATCTTCTGGGACCTTCCAGAATCTATGGAATTTTGTAAGATAGTAACTATTACCTCTACTATCAATGCACTACCTCTATTATGACCTTAGGAGGCAGCCCGTCTGATTCTGGGATCTTGTCAGCCATGAGATATATTCATTTTCCCAGCAGTTTTTCTCCTGATGATGGCAATTGCTTTAAGTTCCTTCTTTCCTTTGGCCTCTTAATTTCTAAACATCTGTTTAATTTCTAAACAGATTTGCTAAATTTTCTACAGCGAAGACAAACACAAACTACTACTGTCAAAATACCAACCTTGTGATGTACATTCATCTCTTGAATCTTATTTATCTTACTCTAATTTGCTGAAGGCTCAGAAATATCTCAAATGTTACTACAATCAATGTTCTGCTTTCAATTCAGCTCCTAGCTGCTGATATTCATTGTTCAGAACCTTTTTCCTAGTTCTGCTGCGCCATTTTACACCTGTGGACCATGACACTGGATCCTTCCCCTCCCGCTGCAATTTTATCTCCAGTCTTTGGCAAATGTGTAGACATTTGACATGAGACAGGCAACTCAGCCTCTGGCCTCTTGCTCTTGGCTGCAGAGAACCTGTCGATTCCTTTGCCTGTACTGTCTTATACCACCACTGCATTCCTATTTACTCCCCTCACTGAATGGTTTTATGTGCCATGGTCAATTCACTTCTCCTTGGAGCTCCTGCAATCATCCATGCAAGCTGCCAGAACCTCGATCCTGTTGGAGCAAATCAGACAGCACCAGCATAAGGTGTGTGATTGTGTTCAGGAACAAAGTGCCCAGGTAACATTCCCCTCTCTGTTGTACTGCAATGTCTACAGATCGGGCTACAGCTCATTGACTGAGCCAAAGATTCTTGAGTTACAGACACTTACTGCAGATGTTACCTGAGTGCTTTAACAGAGGGAGGTGACGAAAGTAGGGCAGTTGGTGTAGTTTATATGGATTTCAGCAAGGACTTGACAAGGTCCCACATGGGAAACTGATGATAAAGGTAAAATCTCATGGGATCCAGGGTAACTTGACAAGTTGGATCCAAAATTGGTTTAGTTGCATGAGACAGAGTGGTGATAGGAGGCTTTATGTGTGACTAAGGCACGTGACCAGTGATGTACCACAGGGGTCAGTGGTGGGTCCCGTATTGTTTGTGATATTTGTAAATGATGCAGATGAGAATGTAGGGTGAATTATAAGAATGTTTGTGGATGACACAAAGATTGGCAAGGTAGCTGAGGAGGAAGATCTTAGCTTACAGGATAAATGGATTGGTCAGATGGGCAGATCATTGGCAGATGGAACTTAACCCCAAAAAATGTGACACACTTTGGAAGAAGGAACAAGACAAGGGAGTACTCAACGAATGGCAAGACACTAGGACATGTAGAGGGTGTTTGTCCACACATCCCTAAAGGTGTCTGGACAGGGTGGTTAAGAAGGCATTTGGGACACTTGCTTTCATTAGTCGTAACAGATTATAAGAGTAGGGAGATTATGCTGGAACTGTATAGAACTTTGGTTAAGCCACAATTAGAGTACCGAGTGCATTTCTGGTCACCACACCTCAGGAAGGATATGGTTGCACTGGAGTAGGTGCAGAGCAGATTCACCAGGATGTTGCCCCAGATGGAGCATTTGGCTATGAAGAGACGTGGGATAAGATCGTTAGAGATAGTAAGAACTGCAGATGCTGGAGTCAGAGATAACAGTGTGGAACAGGAAGAACACAGCAGGCCAGGCAGCATCTGGCCTGCTGTGTTCCTCCAGGATAAGATCGTGTTGTTTACTTTGGAACAGCGGAGTTTGAGGGGGGACCTAAAAGAGGTGTATAAGATTGATGGGCATGAAAGGGCGGATAGAAAGCTGCTAATCCCCTTAGTTGAAGGGTCAAGAACAAGGGAGCACACTTTTAAAGTGACAGGCAGTAGGTTCAGAGGGATTTATGGAAAACTTTTTGACCCAGAAGGTGGTGGTCTGGAATGCACTGCCTGGGAAGGTAGATGAGACAGGTAACTTCACAAATTTAAAAAGTATTTGGATGAACATTTGAAGTATCATAACATTCAAGGCTTTGGGCCTAGAGCGGAAAGCAGGACTAGTATAAGTCGTGCTATCTTTCTTTGTGGTACAGACTCTTCTGTACTGTATGATTCTTTGATTATATGTGGTTGCCTTGGATCTCATTTAGTATCCATCAAAGCCCATTTACTGCAACTGCAATATGTGAACTGACATGCCAGCTTTATTATGTGTGAATTAATGGTTCTTAATTTATAATTAATAAATCCTACTACTAATGATGAGCATTACAACAGTTAGTAAACCCTATTTATACAAATAAAAACTTAAAATTACTAATTTTGAAAGATAAATGAGAAAATACTCACCAATGAATCAGTTGGATGTTTTCTTTTGATGACACATGTTGATTTTGCTCAGAAAGCAGTTGGTTCATTCTGGAGCCACAGTCTGACCTAGTTCCTTACATTGCAGTCTGTCAATCTCTGTACTGTTTTGTCATGATTCACTGGGGTAGTGTACTGGAGGTCAGGCTCCACTATCCTTCGAGTTGTCACAAATGCGAAGATTAGTTTAAAATACTCAACTGCCCAATTTTACTCAACTGTGTAATTCAGATTAAAATAAGATGCACACCAGGTTTTTTTTTCCATTATCAAAAAAATATTCGTTTATTGTAATTAAACTGTTTCTTTTAAATCAATAGCAAAACAAGTTGAATTGCTAATCTATAACTCGACAACTAAAACTCCATCCCTTTCTTAAAACCCCATGCACATTCAAACAGACACATAAAGAGATGACAAGACACAAATATTTTTTGGTGGAGAAGGGAAAAAAGTCAGAGGAGCATAGTTCTGGCAATAGTCCATATCAGAGATGTTGATGAGTTGTTTTCTTTCAGCCTTTTCTCGATTCCTTCTGATTCTTTGCTAATAACATGAAGCTGTGGATACAGAGATTCTTAGTGTTTCATTCACTGGTAGGAGATTTCCTTTTCAGTATGTCTGAATGTGGTTTTCTCTTTTTCTTTTCATTGGTGGATTTGTAGAGAGAACAACTTACAGAGAAAGGGAGCGTAGCTTGCTACTGAATATTTCCTGTTACTTCTCCACACAGAAGAGAGGGATGGAATTTGATGGTTGTTTTCCGTTTGCATGTTGGATGTCTCTTCTGTACTGTCCACGCACAAGGCCGTAGTCATCTGCTCAGGAACCAGTCAAATAGCTGTTACTGTGCTGAGTCCACAACTCGTCCTGATTGAAAAGAACAATCAAAAGGCTGTCTTTGGGTAGTGCTATTCTGTCTGAATTGCTCCCTCACTGCTTGAATAAGGAAACCTTATCAATACAGCACTGTGTATCCCTGTGATTCGTTTTTAATACTTCAAGCATTTTCTTACACAGTCCTCTAGATTTAAAGCAAAATCTCTTTTTCATTTTTAGTCCACAGATCAAAGAAAGTGCTCCTTACATTTTGCAGTGCTGCATCACTGATCTCTATACTCTTTGCAGTGCTGGTTTTATTTAAGAAAATATTACCTGAACATGACGAGTCCGCCTGCCATAAAACCTAACCCAAAGTGCTTTCTTCCAGCCACAGAAAATAGGAAAGGTCTATATGAAAATATGTCTTAGACTGAATTACCACATTTATTTATTTACTGGCATTTTACTTACATTTTTATTATGCGGCTTTATTACAGGTGCAGCTGCCACCCTCTGTATTTGTAAATACAACAGAATCCAATGATGTTGAGAGGTAATTATTTATTATATCATTAAACATAGATATATTACTAACCATTAGGACTAAAGGCACCACTCAATTTTTTTGACACCTTCAAGCAATAGTAGAAATGCAATTGCACCTGCAGTATACAATATAACTCTCCAAAGAATTTTTCCAGCTTAAAGTAGATATTAATATTTTTGGAAGCTTTATATAATTAAATCAACTGAGCATTGATAATGCAACAGTGCCGTTCTTTAAGATGTTCATTTTCTCCCCATTCCTTCCATAAATGTTGGCTGTTTGATGAAGTATTGATGTATATGCTGGCATCCACTAGTTCTTTGCCAAAGCGGTTATTATTCTGAAGCCCTGATGGTAAATTTTTTTCATGAATTTGGACTGTGCAGACCTTCATAGTCTGGCCCTATTTTACTCTTGCCTTAATATGTTTATAGTACCATCTCAATAAGCCAGAAACCTGATAGAAAATGTTCTTCTCCTCTTTGTTGCAAACAGAAGATCCTTATAGCATAAAAGCAAAAGAAAAAACATTTAACATGGTGAAGATTATTGGGAAGCCTTTATAAACCAGCAGAGGATAACTAAAAAAGTAACAAGGGGAGAGAAGATGAAATATGAGGATAAGTTAGACAGTAATATAAAAGAAGATTTCAAGAGTATTTTTAGATATTTATAAGGTTAGAGAGAGGCAACGGTGGACATTGGACCACTGAAAAATGATGCTGGAGAAATAGTAATGGGCAATGAAGAAATGGTGGAGAAACTGAATAGGTATATTGCATTGGTGTCCACAGTGGAAGATACCAGCAGCATACCAGAACTTCAAGACAATCAGGAAGCAGAGTTGAGTGTAGTGGCCTCACGAAGGAGAAGGTGCTGGGGAGGCTGAAAGATCTGAAGGTGGATGATTCACCCAGATCAGATGGACTGCACCTCTGAAAGAGATAGATGAGGAGATTGTAAAGGCATTGGTGGTGATTTTGCAGGAATCACTGGAGTCAGGAAGAGTCCCAAAGGACTGGAAAATGGCTAATGTATCATTCCTGTTTAAGAAGGGAGGGATGCAGGCCGGCTAGCCTGATCTCAGTTGTTGGTAAGATTTTTAGAGTCCATTATTCAGGGTGAAATTGCAGAGTACTTGGAAGTACATGGTAAAATAGGCTGAGTGAGCACAGCTTTGTTAAGGAGAGGTCATGCCTGACAAATCTGTTAGAATTCTTTGAGGAAGTAACAAACAAGTTAGACAAAGGGAGAGTGTATGTGATCTATTTGGATTTCCAGAAGGCCTTTGGCAAGGTGTCACACAGGAGGCTGCTAATAAGAGATTGGCTGACTGGCGGAAGGAAGAGAGTAGGAATAAAGGAATCTTTTTCAAGAAGGCAGCCAGTGACTAGTGGAGTTCTGCAGGGGTCCATGTAGAGACCAGAACTATTCATGATGTACATTAACAATCTAGACGAAGGGACTGAAGGCATTGTTGCTAATTTTAGAGGTGAAAATGATAGGTGAAGGAGCAGGTAATGATGATGAAGCAGGGAGGCTACAAAAGGACTTGGACAGGTTAGGAGAGTGGGCAAAGAAGTGGCAGATGGAATACAATGTGGGAAAGTGCGAGATTATTCACTTTGGCAGGAAGAGTAGAAGCGTTGACTATTTTCTAAATGGCGAAGGCTTTTGAATCTGAATCACAAAGGAATTTAGGAGCCCCAGTTCAGAATTCTATTAAGGTTGATATGCAGGTTCAGTTGGCAGCTAGGAAGACAAATGCAATGTTAGCATTCATTTCAAGAGGGCTAAAGTGTAACTGCAGAGATGTACTGCTGAGGCAATATAAGGCTCTGATCAGACTGCATTTTGAATATTGTTTGGGTCCTGATTAAGTAAAGATGTGCTGGTGTTGGAGGGTGTCCAGAAGAGGTTTCCAAGAATGATCCCGGGGGTGAAGTGCTTGTCATAAGACAAGTGGTTGAAGACTCTGGGTCTGTCCTCAATGGAGTTTGGAAGGTTGTGGGGGATCTCATTGAAACTTACAGAATACTGAGAAGCTTGGATAGAATGGACATGGACAAAACGTTTCCACTAGTAGGAGAGACTATAATGGCATGCCTCAGAGTGAAGGGGTGACCGTTTAGAATTGAGATGAGGAGGAATTTCTTCAGTCAGAAGGCAGAACTTATTGCCGCAGAGGGCTGTGGAGGGCAAGTCATTGAGTATATATTACAGGAAAGATGTGGAAGCAATGGAAAAGGTGCAGAGGAGATTTACCAGGATGTTGCCTGGAATGGAGGGAAGGTCTTACGAGGAAAGGTTGAGAGAGCTAGGGCTTTTCTCTTTAGAATGACAAAGGATGAGAGGTGACTTGATAGAGGTGTACAAAATGATCCAAGGTATAGATAGAATGGACAGCCAGAGACTTTTTCCTAGGGTGGAGGCAGCTATTATGAGGGGGCATAGTTTTAATGTGAGTGGAAGTAGATATAGGGGAGACGTCAGAGGTGGGTTCTTTACTCAGAGAGTGGTTGGGGCGTGGAATGCATTGCCGGAGAGGGTATTGGAGTCGGCCTCATTAGGGGCATTTAAGCGGCTATTAGATAGGCATATGGATGGTAGTATAAAGTAGGGGTGGAGGTTAGATAGACCTTAGGTTTAGGGTAAAAGTTCGGCACAACATCGTGGGCCGAAGGGCCTATACTGTGCTGTACTGTTCTATGTTCTATGTTCAATATTTAAGACAAGATAGATATGTTCTTGATTGGTAAGGGAATTACGGGATACAGGGAGAGGCAGGAGAATGAGGTTGAGAAAATATCAACCATGATTGAACAGTGGAGCAGACTCGATGGGCTGAATTGCCTAATTCTGCTCCTACATCTTATGGTCTTATGGGCTTTTCAAAAGCATGACAGAGATAGAGTAGCAAGAAACTCACCTCTATCCTTCTTAATAACACATTCTGGCATTTTTACTATGATAGATGTTAAGTTAACTGACCTGTAGTTTCTTGCTTTCTATCTTTGCTTTTCTTGATTAGAGCAGTCCTATTTTCCATTTTTATGGGACCTTTCCAGAATCTAGGAAATTCTGGAAAATTAGTCTGATGTATCTACCATTTCAGTAACCATGGTGCTGCTTGGCCTGCTGCGTTCATCCAGTTCTACACCTTATTATCTCAGATTCTCCAGCATCTGCAGTTCCTACTATCTCTGAAACCATTTTACTTTAGATCTTTGGAAGAAGCCCATCAAGAAATGGCAAATTGTCGACTTTCAATTATAATAATTTTCTCAATACCCTTTCCCTGGTGAATACAATTGCTTTAACAAAGTACTGAGACTCATGAAGTACTTACTTAAAATAATTCTCATTTATTCAACAAGGTTATTCATATCTACAAATCCCAGATCCAACCCAGAGAATGGATTGTACTGTATACGGAATTCTTCAAAGTCAGGACAGGTACCAGTCTTAAAATTTGCACAAGTTGTACCCTTTGTTCCATCACTGATAATTAACTAGTCTGTTTTAAATGTATTTTTCATACTTTCTGCCCTGTTGCAAAAGGTTTTAGTTGTATGGGATGACTCAGAGAAGAAAGTGAGGAACTACAGAATTTTTGAAAAGGTCAGTAAACGTTCTTTAAATATTTTTGCAGCCAAGTTTGTCACATAATGATGAGTATTTGACTACATTTGTTATTTTAATTCTGTATTCCTCTTTTAGAGCATAAATCTCAGTTCATTGGGAAACACTTCTAAAACAGTGATGCTACTAGTCAATGTGGATACATTGTAGGTGTGGCTAGATTGTCATGGAAAATCTCTCATTTTGTTTCCCCTTTTCTCTCATCTCATGGGTTTTGGATGCCATTGATTGGCCACCTAAGGTATCGAAATAGCCATTTAAGGGCTTCAACTTGCCAAAGAGCAGATGGGCTGCCTAATACCACCCCACTGCCCCCCATATTGAAGTGAAAGTGGAAAGGCGATGGGCACAGCATGCCACTTGATTTTACAATCAATACAGCTGCCAGTCCACTCTCTTGCCAGCATAAAATTCTGGTTATACAGAAATTATAACACAGAAGGAGGCCATGCAGCCCTTCAAATCCAATCCAACTATCTGTAGAACAATCCAGTCAGTCCCTTCCTGCGCTTTATTTCTGTAGTCATGAAAGTTTATGTTAGGACACTTTTAAAAATTATATAAAGTCTGACAAAAATCTAACCTGCATCAAAAACTCAAAATTTGTATTCACTCCAATTAATGATTGTCTTCTGAGATTTAAAGCAATGCTGTCCTACTAGTATCATGAAGCTGTACTGGAATTCAATATTTATTGATTGCAATTTGTTGTATTTGTATTCCTGATAGCAGTAGAGAAGTATTGTTCTAAATACTATTTTTGCTTTTTCTTTAGGAATCCAAGTTCTTTCTAGAATCCGATGTAAAGTTCATATGCCTCGCAAGCATGATTGAGTTTTACCATAAGCACACACTCCCAATACATGATAATTTACGTCTTAGAGTGCCTTATGGCTATAAGCACCCATCATGACATTAACTCTTCATATGCTGCCTCTTTGAACTTGAAACAAATCAAAATGATCAACAAAACAAATTAGACTGCACATTAAAAGCTTGAAGATCATTTAAGCAACACTGTTTTAGAAGAAGGCAGAAAGAGAGAAGAAATGGAACTGTTGCACATTGCATCAGTTATTGTAACAGGAAAACCTGGAAAGCTGTGAAATATCACTTTATCAAAACAAGAAGGCTGTAATGCCTTATGCTGATTTCTCTCACATTTCTCTGTCGTAGAGGAAAGATATTGGCAATTGTCTGAACTGAGATGCATCTTTCCCTTTTCTAGTTCTGAAGCACTCTCTGCTCAGAATCCTGACCACTCAGAGAAACTGGGGAATCACCTGGGCTCTTCAAACTCTGCATTTATTGTCAACATCCACCTCAAGTCCAGAGTTCTGAAGAAGGGTCACTCAACCCGAAATCTCCACAGATGCTAGCTGTTCCAGCAATTTCTATTTTTGTCTCCAGAGTATTACAATTTAGTTTGCCTTTTCAGCACTGATCTACCATATTGATTAATAATCCTGTGATTGGACTCCTTATACATTCCTCTGTTAGCAGTCAGGATTTCCTGCATATTAAAAGGAATTCCAAGGTGGGAGAAAATGTTTTGAGAATCTTAAAGCATTCTTCGGTTTGCACAACATTAAATGACTAGAAGATGGGATATAGATGCCAGCACAAGCACCAAGTATTTGTAGATTTGCTGTTATATTTTAATAAGTTTTTATTTACTTACCTTCTGAATGTGATAACATAGAATATAATGCACAGAAATAAGCAACTTGGCCGGATTAGTCTGTGCTTGTTTTCATATTTCACAAGTCTCCTCTCATTCCATCTATGCTATCTCAGCCTTTCAGCATATTTCCTATCCCTTTTTCTCAAATAGGGGCAGCATGATGGCTCAGTGGTTAGCACTGCTGCCTCACAATGCCAGGGACCTGAGTTCAATTCCAGTTTTGAGTGATTGTCTGTGTGGAGTTTACACATTCTCCCCATTTCTGCCGGGTGCTCCCACAGTTCAATGATATGCAGGCTAGATGGGTTAGCCATGGTAAATGTGGAGTTACAGTGATGGGGTGGGGGGCTGGGTTTGGGTGGAATGCTTTTCAGAGGGTCTCTGTGGACTCAATGGGCCAAATGGCTCTTTCCGCACTGTAGGGATTCTATGATTCAATGAAATAATACGATGGATGAGTATATTAGGAATAATAGTAGTCCATTTAGCCCCTTTATCCTGCTTCAGGATTCAATAAGATCACGGCTGATCGAACTCTAGACATAACTCAATTTTTCTGCCTGCTCCCTATAAACCTCCACTCTCTTGTAGATCGAAAAATATGTCTGAAATGAATATATTAAATGACCCAGCCTCCACTTCTATCTGGGTCAAGAGTTCCAAAAGAGATGATTCTGAGAACAAATTCTTTCTCATCTCATTCTTAAATGGAAGACCTCTTATTTTAAAACTGTTGTTTTCCCCACAAGAGGAAGTATCCTCAGCAAATACCTTCCCAAGACCCCCTTAGAATCTTTCAGAGTTAATGTTTCGGGTCCGCTGACCCTTCCGCAGTTCTTTTGGCCTTTATTTCCCTTAGAATCTTGTTATGTTTCAATAAAAATCACCTCTCAATCTTCAAAACTCCAAATAGTATAGACCCAAACTGCTCAACCTTTCCTCATAAGACAACCTTTCATCGTAAAAATCAACATAATGAACTTTCTGCTCCTGCAAGTGCATTCTTTGTTAAATAAGGAGACCAAAACTATATGCAATTCTCTGGTAGTGGACTTGACTGACTATTGTAATTACATTTTCCCACTTTTATACTTTATTTTCATTTTAATAAAGTCCAGTATCCTTTGGGAAAGATCTGAGCTACTTTCCTCAACCATTTCCTGTGGTACACAATACAAATTCAAACCATTTTCTAAGTAAAAAAAAGTTATTCTTTATTTGCAAACTTTTTTTTAGTAACTAGTAACATTTATTAGTAACTATGTTGTATTCATGGATTCTAGTTGTGTATTCTCCCACAAGTGGATACATCCTCTCCATATCTACCTTGTCCATCCAATTGTTAATTTAGAGTATCAAGAATGCTAGTCCATGCCGAGAGGATGAAAGCTGACTTCATCCAAGAAGCACCACATTGCAGTTTCCAGCAGATATTAGATTTTCTACTTCCTACCATAGGAATAGGGATACAAATTTTAGAAGTTCTTTTGCTGCTTAAACTGAGATCAGCTTGTTGAGCATAGAGCAGAGGCTGAATCTGGGACCCATCTGTAAGGCTCAGTTTCTCAATTCCCCATATGGCTGAGTCATTGTGGTATCCTAAAATATTGCCTGATTTATTTTTTTCTTGGATTAAAACAAAACTCACAGTCCTAAAATTTCACTGTGTAATAATACCACACAATTAATTTTACTGCATTCTTCTCATTAATTTAGCGACAACTGTGGAGAAAAGAATACAAGGTATGTGTTAGCCGTACGTACAACAGTTTCCCAAAATCAGCATACAAATAGGAGTAGGCCACTTTACCGTTCAAGCCTGTTCCACAATTCAATGAGATGAATGCTTCATTTGCATCCTAATTCACATATCTAAAATTGCTTCATATCCCTTAATACCTATGGTTAAGCAGTGTATTAATAGCAGAACAGGCTTGAGGAGTTGAATGGCTTACTCCTACGCTTAATTTGTATGTTTGAAAAGAGCTGCAATGTTGTGCCATGCTTTGTGTGTAGAAGTGTTGCCTAATTTCACTCCTGAAAGGTCTGGCTTTAATTTTTAGACCATATCTCCTAGATCTGGACTCCACAGCTAGCAGAAATAGTTTATCTCTCTCCACTCAATCCGTTCCCCTTAATATAATTTGGCGGTCTCTAGAATCTTTGGATCTAGAATAGAACTGCTATTTAAACTGATGGTGATGGTGGTGCATGGAGGAGTGGAATGGTCAGACAGAGTGTGCTTGGGAAAAAGGAACAATTTTGCATTTTTAAGTGTGCAGAGATCTTTTTCATGTCAATGGTAGCTATGATGTTGAGGTGCTGGTGTTGGACTGGGGTAGACAAAATCAGAAGTCACACAACACCAGGTTATAGTCCAACAGGCTCATTTGAAATCACAAACTTTCAGAGTACTGCTCCTTCATCACATAGCTGTGACATAGATCTGATTACAAAAAGGCCCATATCTACGATGGACCATCTCCGATACCTCCCTCTCCTTCCTGGACCTCTCTGTCTCCATCTCCAGTGACCACTTCAAAATCGACATCTATTTCAAGCCCATCGACTCCCACAGCTACCTAGGCTACACCTCCTCTCACCCACCTTCCTGCAAAAATGTGATCCCCTACTCCCAATTCCTCCACCTCCACCATGTCTGCTCCCAAGATGGGGCATTCTCCTCCTGCACATCCCAGATGTCCTCCTAATTCAAGGACAGTAACTTCCCCCCTCTGGTGATCGAAAATGCCCTCAACCACATCTCTTGCATTTCCCGCACCTCTGCCCTCACATCTCCTCCCTCCAACAAAAATAAAGACAGAATGCCCCTTGTCCTCACATGTCACCCCACCAACCTCCGCATCCAACATATCATTCTCCGCCACTTCTGCCACCTACAATCTGACCCCACAACCAAAGATATATTTCCCTCCCCAACCCTATCTGCTTTTCATAGGGACTGTGCTCTCCATGACTCCCTCGTCCGCTCCACACACCCCAGTAACCCCACCAACCCGGCACCTTTTCCTGCAACCACAGGAAGTGCTGCACCTGCGCCTACACCTTCCCCCTCACCTCCATTCAAGGCACAAAACAAACCTTCACATTACACAGGGGTTCATCTGCACATCCATCAACTTGGTCTACTGCATCTGCTGCTCCTGATGTGGCCTCCTCTACATCGGTGAGACCAAGCGGAGACTCGGAGACCGTTTTGTAGAGCACCTATGCTCTGTTCACGACAAATGACACCTTCTGGCCGTGAACCATTTTAACTCCCCCTCCCACTCCCTGGGTGACATGTCAATCCTGGGCCTCCTCCAGTGTCACAATGATGCCAAATACAAACTGGAGTAGCAGCACCTCATATTCTGCCTCGAGAGCTTACAACCCAATGGCCTAAACATGGATTTCATCAGTTTTAAAATCTCCCCAACCCCCGGCCTCATCCCATGTCCAACCATCCCTCTCATCCCCGCCACCTTGACCTGACACAACCTGTCGATCTTCTCTCCCACCTATTCACTCCTCTCACCCCACTGACCAATCCATCTATTACCATCCCACCTACTTACCCCAGCCCCCCTCCTTTCTCTATTTATTTCTGAGCTCCCTTCCCCCTCCCCATTTCTGAAGAAGGGTCCTGACCCGAAACATCAACTTTCCTGCCCCTCTGATGCTGCCTGGCCTGCTGTGTTCCTCCAGCTCCACACTGTGTTATCTCCAAATATCTGACGGTAGCCAAGCCTTTTCCTTTGTGCTGCTGATAAATCTGATCATTTATGCATTTAATGCATAGCGAGGTGACTGAAGAAAGGCAAAGAATGAGTTTCAGTGGTAATAAAAGTTTTAACTACATTGCATTTATTTAAATATGAACTATATAATGGACTGTTTTATATTGGAATAACTTCCATTTATACATATTGAAAATTATTTACAAAATGTATATATGAAATTTTTATACAAATAAACTATTTTTGAGATCTGTTTGAGAGCATTTCATCATTCCAGTTGCTAACAATTTGTTTGGTTAATGGTGTTATTACTCCTTTGGAGTAGTGGCATTTTATTGAACTGCAAAGAGTATCGTAGCCACAGCTGATCTTATCATCATATGATATTCACACAGGCACACTTCCACTAGGATAGTAATCCAGAATGGAAACTCTAGGTAATTTCTTTTCTCCCTGTTCACAGAAATTACAACTGTTATGCTCAAATTAAGATTGGACCTGAAACTTGCTGGTCTGCGTGGCTCACATGCTCAGTGGCTTAACCAAATAAGCCAGTATGATAGACTATTCTGTTTAGCAAGTGCCAAAAATCCTCTTCCTGAATCTGCTGTACTGGAAATAATGTTGAAACCAACACAGGCAGGGTAGAAATTCTAAGCAAGCTGTGAAATTACAAAATTGTGTTCTTTGCTAAATGGCAGTAAAGAAGATGGTTGTAACTATTGCACTGTCAGATCCATCCTGGAGCTCGTGGAACCTAATCTTCAACAAGCACGGTTCCTGCCATGGTTTTATGTAGCTTTAGAGTTTTAGAAAACAAATATCTTCTCATCCCGCAGTTTGCTGCTGAACCAGAAACCCTTTTGCAGCTAGAAAGAATCTTTTTGTTAGAACTGCAGAATATTGCCACTGGAAGATTGAGTGAATGGGCTTCCTGCCAATATTGGAAAATGCAGTGAATGAAAACAGGAAATGTTGATCAGAGTACAATGAGCTAGCAAGCATTAGAATAAGAAAGGAAAGGAGACAGCATTTTGAGAAATGTTAAAAGTTGGGGGAGAGCATCTGTAAGACATGCCAAAATGTTGATAGGCCTTTTCAGATTTTGACTGACACGCTGTCAGAATTTTCTATCTTTATTTTCAATTTCCAGCATTTTACATTTTTTTTGTTTCTTTATTCATAGAACGTGGGAGTTGATGGCTAGGCTAACATTTATTGCCCATTCTGAATTGCCTTGCAGAAAGTAGTGGTGAGCTACTGCTGCAGTTCTTGGAGTGTGCTTAGAACCACAGTGCTGTTAGGAAGGGACTCCTAGGATTTTGATCAAGCAACAGTGAAGGAACAATGATAGAACATTTAAGGTGAGAGGGGAAAAGTTCAAAGGAGATGTGAGGGGCAAGTTTTTTTACTCAGAGAGTGGTAGGAGTCTGGAACATGCTGCCAGGGTGGTGGAGGAGTCAGATACGATAGGGGCGTTAAGACACTTTTAGATAAGCACATGAATGTGCAAGGAATGGAAAGATATGGACCAAGGGCAGGCAGAAGGAATTAGTTTAATTTGGCGTCATGTTCGGCACAATATCATGGGCCGAAGGGCCCATTCCTGTGCTGTACTGTTCTATGTTCTAATCTCGAACAGTACAACGCAGGAACAGGTTCTTCAGTCCACAATGTCCGTGTCAACCATGATGCCATTCTAAACTAGTCCTACCTGTCTGCACATAGTCCAAATCCTTCTATTCTCTGCCTGTTCATGTGACTGTATAAACCTCTTAAGCATTGCAATTATATCTGCTTCTACCACCTTCACTGGCAGCATGTTCCAGGCATCTACCCACCTCTATGTAAAAGATTTGCCTCACACATCTCCTTAAAACTTTCCCTCTCTCACCTTTAACCTATGCCCCCAAGTATTTGACATTTCCATACTGGTAAAAAGACTCTGATTATCTACCCTATCCATGCCTCGATTAATTTACACACCTCCATCATGTTGACCATCAGCTTCCAACACTTTAGCAAAAACAATCCAAGTTTGTCCACCTGTCCTTAAAGCTAATATGCTCCAATCCAGGCAACAATTCTGGTAAAACTCTTTTACACCCTCCCCACTTCCTTCCTACAGTGTGGCAACCAGAACTGCACACAATACTTCAAATGTGGCCTAACTAAGTTTTATACAGATGCAACAGGACTTGCCAACTGTATACTCAATGTCCCAACTGATGAAGGCAAGCATGCCTTACAGTTTCTTTACAACTTTATCCACTTGTGTTGCTACTTTCAGGAAGCTATGGACTTATACCTCAAGATACCTCTATATCAGTGCAGGACCTAAGGGTTCTGCCATTTACTGTATACTTTCCTCTTGCATTTGACCTCCCAAAATGCATCACCTCACTCTGGTCCAAAGTAAATTGCATCTGCCCAAGTTTCCAACTGATCTATATCCTGTTGTATCCTTTGACAAGGATATTCTTCATTCCTATCCTTCCTCAATATTCACTATTCCAAATTTTGTGTCATCTGCAAATGTACTCAATAGACCACCCACATTTTCATCCAAAACATTTATATATATTACAAATAATAAAGGTCCCAGCACTGATCCTTGTGGAACACCGTTGGTCACAGACTTACAGTCAGACAAACATCTCTCCATAACTATCGTATGTCTTCTGTGACCAAGCCAATTTTGTACCCAACTTATCACCTCACTGTGAATCCCTTGTGACTTAATCTTCTGGACCAGCCTACATGAGGGGCCTTTTCAAATGCTTTAGAAAAGTTCATGTAGATAACATCCCTCTCTCACCTTAAACCTATGCCCACTACTATTTGACATTTCCATATTGGAAAAAAGGCCGTACTGGCCTCATCCTCATTAATCAATCAAATTTGTGAAACAAGACCTCCCCTGCACAAAACCATGCTGACTATCCCTATTAAGTCCATTCTTTTCCAAATGTGAGTAAATCCTGACCCTAAGGATCTTCTCCAATGACTTTCTTACCACTAATTAAGGCTCACCAGCTTATAATTTCTTGGATTATCCCCGTTGCACCTCTTAAACAAAGGAAAAACATTGCCTATTCTCCAGTCCTCTGGGATCTTGCCTGTGGCTAAAAAGGACATTAAGATCTCTGAAAAGACCTAGCAATCTCCTCCTTTGCCTTCTTCAGTATCCTGGCATGGATCCTATCAGGCCCTGATGATGTATCTTCCTTAATGTTATTCTAGACACCAAGCACTTCCACCTTCTTCATATCAACATGCCCTAAAACATCAACAAATCCCTTTCTAATCTTACCACCATCCATGTCCTTCTCCTTTGTGAATACCAATGCAAAGTACTCGTTAAGGAGCTCACCCACTTTCCCTGGCTAGACACATAAATTCTCTCTTTTATCCTTGAATGAACTACCCTTTCCCAACTATTCTCCAATATATGTATAAAATGCCTTGAGATTCTTCTTAATCCTATTTATCAAGGACTTTACATGTCCCCATTTAGCCCTCCTAATTCCTTGCTAGTTGCAAGTCATGGTTTGTGACTTCGAGCAGAATTTGGAGATGGTGATGTTTCTACATGTCTGCTGCTCTTGTCATTTTAGGTGTTAGGGACCATGGCTCTTGAGGAACCTTGGTGAGTTAACAGCCTAACTGAGATCTTAACTATCTGAAGCCAATTAAAGAAAGCCAACTGGACGTTTCAGTTGGCTCAAGTTCCCACACTGGCAGGGACCAATTTCCGTGGTTGGAGTTGAGCATCTGGTAGAAGGCAGGGGTTCAACAATTCAGATAGAGGCAGTCCTTGGTGCAAGAGCAGCCACATTTTGCATTTAGAGGGACTGCAGGTTCTTTGTCCCAAGTCAGTGTGGCAGCAGTTATTATTTCAGGAAATTATCATTTCAGCAGTACATAAACACATAAATGGTGGAGCTTTATGATCCCCTGATGGCAAGCTAGGAAGTGAGGAGTTGATAAAATAACAGGGAAGCCATATCAGAGAAACCCTCTTGGCCCTTCTGGAAGTTTCTGATTGATGGTAACAACACAGTTCAACTTCCTACTAACTGGAGGCAGGCAGCCAATCTAGACAATTAAAGATCCAAGTAAGGGCCATTTTTCTGGGCTGCTGCCATTTTCCATGTTTGTCCCAATACCTTCCATAGAAATCTAGAGTGCAGAGTAGGACTGGAAAACTTGACTTATGGCTCAGTTGCAGGATACTACCTGTTACACCCAAAGACTGCCTGAAAACTTAGAACTATATATCTTGACAAAAAAAGAAATGAAAGGTGTTCAAGGTTTCAGAAACTTAGTAGCTTTTTTTAT